ATTATTTTGGAGTGGTGAGTTCTGTAGATGTCTACCAGGTCCATTTGACCGAGTGCTGGGTTTAGGTCCTGAATACCTTTGTTAATTTTCTGCCTCAGTGATCTGTCCTAATACTGTCAGTGGGCTGTTAAAAGTCTTCCAGTATTACTGTATCGGAGTCTAAGTCTCTTTGAAGGTCTCTAAGAGCTTACTTTATGAATCTGCTTGCTCCTGTTTTGGGTGCATACATATTTAGGATAGTTAGGTCTTCTTGTTGAATTGGGACTTTTACCGTTATGTAATTCCCTTGTCTTTTTTGATTTTTTGGTTTAAAGTCTGTTTTGTCTGAAATTAGGATTGCAACTCCTGCTTTTTTCTGTTTCTCAGTTTCTTGGTAAATTTTTCTCCATTTCTTTACTTTGAGCCTATGTGTGTCATTGCATGCAAGATGGGTCTCTTGAAGATAGCATACTAATGCATCTTGGTTCTTTATCCAGCTTTCCACTCTGTGCCTTTTAATGGGGGCATTTAGCCCCCATTTACATTCAAGGTTAGTATTGATATGTGTTGATTTGATCCTGTCATCATGATGTTAGCTGGTTATTATGCAGATTTGTTTATGTGTTTGCTTTAGAGTGTCACTGGTGTATGTACTGCAAGCAGGTGCAGCCAGGCTGGGGCCCTGGGAGAGGCCAGCAGACCATGGGGTGCCCAAGATGGACTGGCCCCATCTTTTGGGCAAGGTGACCTTGTATAGCTCAGGTCTGACAGTTCCTCTAGGGCTGTCATCTTGTTATTAGTTGGTTATTATGCAGACTTGATTGTGTGGGTGCTTTTTAGTGTCATTGGTGTATGTACTTAAATAATGTTTTTCTGGTGGCTAGTAAGAGTCTTTGATTTCCGTATTTAGCACTCCCTGAAGGACCTCTTGCAAAGCAGGTATGTTGGTAACAAATTCCTTTAACATTTGCTTATCTGAAAAAGATCTTATTTCTCCTTCACTTATGAAGCTTAGTTTGGCTAGATAGGAAATTCTTAGTTGGAATTTCTTTTCTTTAAGAATACTGAATACAGCTGGGTACAGTGGCTCAGCCTGTAATCCAGCACTTTGGGAGGCCGAGGCAGGTGGATCACGTGAGGTCAAGAATTTGAGACCATCCTGACCAACATGGTGAAACCCCATCTCTACTAAAAATACAAAATTAGCTAGGTGTGGTGGTGCATAATCCCAGCTACTTGGGAGGCTGAGGTAGGAGAATCACTTGAACCCAAGAGGGGGAGGTTGCAGTGAGCCAAGATTGTGCCACTGCACTCCAGCCTGGGCAACAAGAGCAAAACTGTCTCAAAAAAAAAAAAAAAAAAAAGAGTTCTGAATATAGGCCCCCAATCTCTTCTGGCTTGTAGGATTTTTGCTGAAAAGTCTGCTGTTAGCCTGGTGAGGTTCCCTTTGTAGGTTTACCTGCCCTTCTCTCTAGCTGCATTTAATATTTTTTCTTTCGTGTCAGCCTTGGAGAATCTGATAACTATGTGTCTTGTGGATAGTCATCTTGTATAGTATCTCACAAGGGTTCTGTCTGTGTTTCCTGAATTTAAATGTTGGCCTCTCTGACGAGGTTTGGGAAATTATCATGGATGATGTCCTGAAATATGTTTTACAAGTTCCTTTTCTCTCCCTCTTTTTCAGGAACACTAGTGAGTATAGATTTGATCTCTTCACATAATCTCATATTTCTCAGAGGTTTTGTTCATTATTTTTTATTTATTTTTGTGTGACTGAGTTATTTCTGAGAAGCAATCTTTGAGGTCTGAGATTCATTCCTCAGCTTGGTCTATTCTGCTGTTAATACTTGTGATTGTATTATTAAATACTTGTAGTGTGTTTTTCAGCTCTGTCAGTTCAGTTTGGTTCTTTCTTAAAATTATCATTTCAACCTTCAGCTCCTGTATTGTTTTATTGTAATTTTTAGATTCTTTGGAGTCGATTTCAGTTTCTCCTAAATTTTCATGATCTTTATTTCTAGCTGTGTTCTGAATTCTTTGCCTGTTATTTCAGTCATTTCAACCTGGTTAAGCACCATTAGTGGAACTAGTGCAGTCATTTGGAGGAAAAAGACACTTTGGCTTTTTGAATTGCCAGAGTTCTTGTGCTGATTCTTTCTCATCTGTGTGGGCTGATGTTCCTTTAACTGTGGTGTAGTTTGAGTATAGTCACTTGACTTTGTTTCTGGATATTTTCAGAGGGCTGAGACTTTGTCTTGGGTGTTTTTTTGTAGCTGAATTATTGTCGTTAGTGTTATTGGGAAATGTATTTGCATAATATTTTTAGTGTTGAAGTTTGGGATGTGATTCAGTAGATGGTGCTTAAACATACTGGTTAGTAGCTAGGCACTTGCTCAGCCAAATGGTTCTTCTGTATTTCCTCACATTTACAAGGCATGCTCCTTTCAAAGAAGTTTTAAAATTCAGACTACTTAATTTTATCAAATGACTTTTCAAAATCTATTGAAATGGCCTTTAGGTAAATTATACTAACAAAAGTTTTAATAGTTATTCTTTTTGTTAATATAAAAGTTTTATTGGATTTATCAATCAGAATTTTAACATGTATTTATATTTTTGTGGTCTCATTTTTCAGGTTATATGACCAAAAACTATGGTTTTTGTTACTGCAACTCTGCTGCTTGAAAACTTCCACTGTTTCTTTTCCTCCTGCAGAATAAACCTTGGAGATTAACCTTAACATTTAATTAAATCTGACTTCATCTTTTTTATTGATACATAATCATTGTACTCATTTATAGGGTACATGTGATATTTTGATGCATGCATGCAATGTGTAATGATCAAATCAGGTTATTTAGAATAGCTATCGTTTTTGTGTCAGGAATATTTCAAATCTTCTTTTATAGCTATTTTGAAATATATAAGACATTGTTGCTGACTATAGTTGCCCTACTATGCTATCAAACAGTAGAACTTAACCATTCTAAATAACTATATGTTTTTACACATTAACCAACCTCTCTTAATCCCCTCCACTCCCCCAACACCCTTCACACAGCCTCTGGTAACCACCATTCTACTCTATACCTCCACAAGATAAACTTTTTAAGTGCCCACATATGAGTAAGAACACATAATACTTGTCTTTCTGTGCCTGTCTTATTTCGCTTAACAGACAACCTCCAGTTTTATCCATATTGCTGCAAATGACAGGATTTCATTCATTTAATGGCTACATAATATTCCATTGTGTGTATATACCACATTTTATCTATTTATCCTTTGATGGAAACTTAGGTTGGTTCTATACCTTAGCTGTAGTGAATAGTGTTCCTGTAAACCTGAGAGTGCAGGTATCCGTTTGATTTCCTCTCTTCTGGAGAGACAATGAGTAGCGGGATTGCTGGACTAATTGTATGATAGTTCTATTTTTAGTTTTTTGAGAAGCCTCTGTGCTGTTTTCCATGATAGCTGTACTAATTTACATTCCCACCAATAGTATTATAAGAATTCTCTTTTCTCTTCATCCTTACTAGCATTTGTTGTTTTTTGGTAATAGCCATTCCAACTTGGATAACATGATATTTCATTGTGGGTTTGACTTGCCTTTCTCTGATGATTTGTGATGTTGAACATTTTTCATAGGCCATTTGTATGTCTTCTTTTGAGAAATGTATATTCAGATCCTTTACCCACTTTTTGATGGTATTATCTGTTGTTTATTTTTTCTGTTGAGTTGTTCTAGTTCCTTGAATACTAATATATTCTGGATATTAGTTTCTTATTAAATAAATGGTTTGCAAATACCATTACACAGGTTGTCTCATCACTCTGTTAATTGTTTCCTTTGTTGTACAGAAGACTCCTATTTTAATATAGTCCCATTTCTGACCCCATCTTTATTGATCTTTAACTTTCAAGCACATAGCCTTCTTTTCAATCATATTTGATCTCATTTTTCCTAAAAAGTCTCTCTTTCTTATTCCTGTGTACACTTTAAAAAATGAGAATAATATGATCCTCTTTCTGGAAGCAATACATCATTCTTTCCAATTTGTTTTATATGTCATATGTCATCTCCTTTCTAAAATATGTGTATGTGTAATATGTGTATATGTGTTGTATTGTGTGTGTAAAACTTACTTGTAAGCTTAGTTATTATTGGAGTAAGTAAGAATGTGGAAATTAACCTGCTATCTATCTATGTCTGTCTATAGTATATGTATATTATGTATGTTTTATATATATATAAACATAACTAGATGATGAAAAACTAATCTATGTGTATAAAGCAGTGTAGTAGACATTAAAATTTGCCACCCGGATTCCCTTTCAAAGAAGGATCTGTGCTCTAGGGGCTAAGAGTGCTGTTAAGGGACACCCTTCAACTGTCAGTCCCTTCATTGGTTTCCTGGCCTCCAGAGAACTTCCTTTTCTGAGGAAGCTTCTTTCCAGGAACCATCCAGTGACTGCTCAAGTTGGAGCAGAAAGGCTTGGCTATTTCAGTCCAGGGACAACTATGATCGGTACTTTCAGCTCTAGAACTCTTCTTCGAGCCAGTTGTGGCTATTAGGCCTCCATCATAGCTAATTTCTCCATCTGCCCAATCCTGCCTCTTCCCTTGACTGCCAAAGGCATTGATTCCAAAGGCATTCGCAATAAACATTCTGAACACTAAACTTCCCCGGAGAGTCTATTTCCCAGGAACCTAACTGTAATAAGTAGTTTGTTTATTACAGCCCTTATCTCTATTTGTTTTGTTTGTGTATGTATCTGATTCCGTTTTTGAGCCATAACTAGTTTGAGGGCAAGGGTCATCTTTGAATTTCTGGTATTAAACACAGCAATAGTATTTTAGGCCTCTGTAGAATATATATACACACACACATACACACACACACACACACACACACACGTATCTATATTTTTCTATGCATACTAATTAACTGAACAAATTTACTATATGTAAAATGTCTTTAATTTAGAGTTTTAAAGATTTTATTTAAAATGTTTTCCAGCTTTCAGATGAAATGGAGACAGAGAAGAATATAGAGGTACTTAAAATTTCTGTTCTGCCAGATTGTATATCAAGTGTATTATGTAGGACTAAAATAACTTTTACAACGATATAAATATAGCTCTAAATGTAGAGAGAGGTACCAGAGGAAAGGATTGGAAACAGGTATAGAAGCTTTCTCTTTCTGCCTAGTCTTTATTTATTTATGTGTAGTCTAGCTAAAATTCTTGATCATTTGAGTTTATGTCAAAATTAGTTCTGAAATACGATTTTGTTTTTATTTTAGGTATGGCATATGAATGTACCAGGGTTTTTAATTTCAGAGAAGCAGAACATATGAAGGTTTTTCTTTATTTTTTGCAGGGGGTGTGGGGAATGGAGCCTCACTCTGTGGTCCAGGCTGGAGTGCAGTGGTGCAGCGCTGGCTCACTGCAACCTCTGCCTTCCAGGTTCAAGTGATTCTCCTGCCTCAGCCTCCCAAGTAGCTATGATTACAGGTGCATGCCACCATGCACAGCTAATTTTTGTATTTTTAATAGAGATGGAGTTACACCATGTGGTCCAGGCTGGTCCCGAACTCCTGACCTCAAGTGATCCACCCACTTTGGCCTCCCAGTGTGCTGGGATTACAGGCGTGAGCCACCGTACCCGGCCGAAGGTGTTTCTTCGATGGGATATATAATTATTAGTTAATTTAGTAAAAAGAAGTAAAATAATTATGTTAATGAATGATAGTTAAATGTTGGTCTTATGTAGTTATACAAGTCTACTATATTGAGAAGAGTGAAATATTTACTCTCCTGTTATATTTTCCTCTTTCTAGGGTTGCAGCTTCACAGGATTCAAAGCCAATGAACTTACTAAGCTACCCAGACATTTGGATGCTGAACGAATTTATCTTTTTATTTTAAAAGCCCATAATTTTGATGTATGTAAATATTTCATTTTATTGTAGGATAAATTTTGATAGTATGATTTAATGAATCAGACCTATATTTAAAGCTATGAGAAATTAAGTGTTTAGCAAGATTTGATCCTTTGGGCATTAAATTTGGCAGGAAAGACAAGTGATGTGTCTAACCCACTAATTACCAGAAAAGAATGTTTTAAACTCTGTGTTACTGCTTTGGGACCCTGAGGTTGCTAGTGTACACTGGCTTGGCATGTAACCGTAACAGGTGTGTTTTCCTTCTTGTCTGTTCCTGCTCTGTCAGCTCAGGATGTTTTAGCCTGATCATTTTTGATCCTGAAATAAGTTGTGAGTGCCCTTCTTCACAACCCTTCTCGGTGTTTCTTTTGAGTCTCCAAGTGTCTGTGGGAATTTTTGGGTAGTATCCCTATAGGGTAACCAAACAATGGGAAACTGCAGGTGTTGGGAGGTCATTAGATCAATAACCAGTGAATACCAGGGCTAAAATGAGGATAAGATGGTTACCTGGTAAAACTGGTCATTTTGCCCTCCATGATTAAATTATCCATGATTAAATGGATACATTGCCATTTAATCCAATTTTGATTAATTGTTTGCTTAGAAAGAACACTAGATAGGCTCAGGATAGGGGCTTATTGGAATAGAAGTCCATGATTGTTTATATTTGTCCTCAGTGGAAAAGGTGGAAATAATGGCATGAATCTTACATGTTTGCTGTTCTTGGTTGTCCTTTCAATATCTACTAGCCAAATATGGTTATTGAGCATATGAAATGTGGCTAGTATGACTGAGGAGCTGAATTTTTTATTGTATTTCTTTTAACTACTTTATATATAAATCTAAAAACTAAATTTCATTTAGTTATTAAAATGCTTTTAATTATGCTTGGAACAAAATTACAAACATGTATTCTATGAAGTCTAAATATTAATCTAGTACTTCTGATGAAAATGTAGTGTTCAAGTTGAGATATGCTATCAAAAATATATACCATATTTCAAATGCCTAGTACTAAAAATGGAATGCAAAATATTTTAATAATTTTTATAAAAATTATGTGTTGAAATATTTTAAATATATTTGATTAAATAAAATGTCACTAAAATTAATTTCACTCTTTACTTTTTTAATGTGGCTACAAGAAAATTTAACATTATGTATGTGGCTCATGTTAAATTTCTGTTGGACAGTGCTGATCTGTAAGCATTGAAAGCATACTCTTTATAAAGCCTATTTACATTAACATGTTTTGTAATATATTTTAATCTCCATGCATCTCTCTTTTGTTTTTTTCCATAGGAAAGAGTTTTTAAAATCTGGAAGACTCATTTTCTCTCAGAAGCCTCCATTGCTCTTTTGCATGACTCCTTTTGGTGGTGGTTTCTCCATAAGTTCAGGGTATAGTGATTTTTTAAAATTTCTTTTTAAGTTGATTTTTGGCTTAATTAATTTTTCAGTAGAGATAAGTCTAGTACAAAAATGCTTTTCTGGATGCAACTACAGAGATGAGTTTTTGAGCATTCCACACATTAGAGATCCTATTTGAAGTCTAGAGTTCTTTCAGAGGAGTTAAAACTTTAATATAGATTTCAAAAGATTCTGGATCTTTGAAATTAGACTTCATATATTATATATATCATAATATATATCACATATTATATAATTAGAGTCTAAGATTTTTAATCAGAAGATCCAAAATTAGAAAGGTGAGAATTCTGATTAGGATTGAACAGATAAAGAAGGTGTATTAGTCTGTTTTCACACTCTTATAAAGAACCACCTAAGACTGGGCAATTTATGAAGGAAAGAGATTTAATTGACTCACATCTCCACATGGCTGTGGAGGCCTCACGAAACTTACAATCATGGTGGAAGGCAAAAGGGAAGTAGGCACCTTCTTCACAGGGAGGTAGGAAAGAGAGAAAGGGAGGGGAAAGTGCCACACTTTTTAAACCACAGATCTCATGAGAACTCACTGACTATTACGAGAATATCATGGGAAAAACCATTCCCATGATACAGTCACCTCCCATCAGGTCCCTCCCTCAACTTGTGGGGATTACAATTCAAGATGAGATTTGGTTGGGGAGACAGCCAAACCATATCAGATGTGGTATCTGGGAATCAATAAGAGAAGAAATAAGCAGCACATGAAACTGTGTTTTACTAGAAGAATTTCAGTAATAATATTATAATACCCTTAATGTTCTAAAAAATAGCTCTTGGGACCTTGACTACAAAAAAGACAAGTACCTGGGAAGTGCATCATTCCCCTCCAAACAACAATAAAATAAAGACATTTAACTTATAAAGTCAGTTTTTTTTTTTAACCCATCATATAAAGTAGATTTCAAAGCCAAGAATGTTACCAGGGATAAAGAAAGTAATTTTATAATGATGAAGTGGTCAACTCATCAACCTGACTTAACAATTCCAAGTATTTATGCACCTAATAAAAATGCTTCAAAACACATTTAATAAAACCTTGTAATACTTTAAAAAGAAATACACAAATCAATACGTATAGAGACTTCAGTCCGTTCTTTGAATAGTTGGTAGAATATACAGAAAATTAGTAAGGATACAGAATGATATAGTAGGCTTAAACAACACTCTCAAGCAACTTGACATAATTGACATTTATTAAACATCTCTCCTGTATTAGTTGGTTTTGTGCTACAATAACAGAATATAACAGAATGGTGATTTATAATGGACAGAATGAATTGACTCACAGTAGGCTAGGAAGTCCAAGATAGAGGGGCCAGCATGTGGTGAGGGCCTTTTTCCTGCATCATCCCTTGGCAGCAGGTAGAAGATGAGAGAGGGAACAAGCAAGAGGGCCCCTCCTATGATAACAAACCCACTTCTGTGATAATGGCATAATCTGTTCATGAGGGTAATGTCCCCAAGACCCAAACACCTCCCATTAGGCCTCATCTCCCAACACCACTGCACTGGGGATCAAGTTTTCAATACATGAACTTTGGGGGACACATTCAAATCATAGCACCTCCCAATAACAGCAGAATACACATTTTTCTCAAGTCCACATTAAACATTTAAGATTAACTATATTCTGAGCTAGGAAAATATCCTAATAAGTTTATAAGAATTCAAGTCAAACACAGTATTTTCAGATCAAAATGGAATTATATTATAAAATAATAACAGATATCTAAAAAATCCCCAAATACTTGGAAATGAACACAATTCTCAGTAACCATGGATCAAATCAGGAATCAATAAGGAAATCAGAAATTCTTTTGAACTAAATGAAAATGAAAACACAGATTAAAATGTGTGAGATACAACTAAAGCAGTATTTAGAGAGAAAATCATAGAATTAAAATGCCTACATTAGAAAAAAGAGGAAGTTCTCCAAAAAGAGGAAGTTCAGCTTCTACCTTAAGAAAGTGGAAAAAGAAAAAAAAAAAACCAAACCTATGGAAAGCAGAAGAAAATAAAATAATAAAGACCAGAGAGAAAATTAATAACATTAAAAAGAGAAGACAAACTCAATTAGGCCAAAAGTTGGCTATTCCAGAATTCTAAAAATGAGGTAGCACAAGAGCAAACTGAAGCCTCTGTTTCACTGAAAGTGACCATAGAAGAAACAAAACCCAAATACAGCTCGTTACTTAACTTAATTGAGTCAAACTCCTAAAGGCTTAGCAAAGGAAGAGGAATGCCTATTCCCAAGCATAAATATTATGTACCTCAGTTTCTACGGGCCTATGAAAGATGCCCAGCTCTCAAACAGAAGGTATAAGACATATAAAGAAGGAAAGGAATTGTGGGGTTGTTTGGTATGAAAATGATCAGCTTAATGAGAAAATGTCACATTGTTTTTCCAGGTGAATATACAATTTTATACTCCCGTTAATATATTGAGTTCCTATTGTTCCTGAACAACCAGTGGGTCAAAGAAGAAATCAAAAAGGAAGTCAGAAAATGCCTTGAGATAAATGAAAACAAAAACACAACATACCAAAACTTATGAGATGTAGCACAAGCAATGCAAAGAGGGAAATTTATAGCTGTAAATTCTTACATTAAAAAATAAGAAACCCATAGCAATTAGGCCAGAGAAAGAAATAAAAGTATCCTAATAGAAAAGGAAGAAGTGAAATATCTCTGTTTGTAATAACATCTTATATACAGAAAATCCTAAAGATTCCCCCGAAAAACTATTTGAAATATTATATGAATTAAGTTGCAGGATACAAAATCAACATTCAAAAATTAGTAGTATTTCTGTACAGTTACAATGAATTATACAAAAAAGAAATCAAGAAAACAATTCTGTTTATAATAGTAATAACAAAAAGTAAAATACTTAGATTTAAACTTAACCAAGGAGGTGAGAAATCTGTATACTAGAAACATAAAACACTGATGAAAGAAATTGACGATGACACAAATAAATGGAAAGTTATCCTGTGTTTATAGATGGAAAGAATTAGTTTAATTAAAATGTCTTTACTACCCAAAGCAACCTACAGAATCAATGCAATCACTAACAAAATTCCAGTGGTGTTTTCACAGAGATAGAAAAAAACAGTCCTAAAATTTATATGGAACTACAGAAAATCCTGAATAGTCTGAGCAATCTTGAGCAAAAAGAACAAAGCTTGAAGTATCAGACTACCTAACTTCAAAAATATACTATAATGCTATAGTATTGTAGTAAAAAACAACAACAGAGAATTGACATAAAAACAGACACGTATACCAATAGAACAGAAAAGAGAGCCCCCAAATAAATCTACACATTCACAATTAATTGGTTTTCAACAAAGGTGCCAAGAACACATGACAGAGAATGGCCAGTCTTCAATAACTATTGTTGGGATAACTGAGTATCCACATTCGGAAGAAGGAAATTGAGCCCTTATTTCACACCATTTACAAAAATCAAGTCAGCATGAATTAAAGACTTAAATATAAGATCTGAAACTGTAAAACTACTAGAAGAAAACAGGAAAAGCTCCATGACATTGGTTTGTACAATGATTTTTTGAATATGAAGCCAAACGTACAGACAACAAAAGCAAAAAATAGACAAATGGAATTGCATAAAACTAAAAAGCTTCAGCACGGCAAAGCAAACAGTCAATAGATTGAAGAGAGAACCTGTAGAATGGGAGAAAACATTTGAAAACCATACATCTGATAAGGGGTTAATGTCTGAAATATATAAGCAATTTAAACAACTTAATAGCAGGAAAGCAACCTGATTTTAAAGGAAACAAAGTAAATTAGTAAATTAGTACAGTCATTTTAGAAAATAGTATGAAGTTTCCACAAAAAAACTGAAAATAGAATCACCGTAAGATCCAGCAATCTCGTTTCTGTTTATATCCAAAGGAGTTAAAATTCCTGTGTTGAAAAGATTTGCACTTTCATGTTCATTTTAGCATTAATCACATAGCCAAGACATGAAAGCAACCTGAATGTCCATCAATGGATGAATGGATAAAGATTTGGTATATAAATATATATATACTATATATATTTGGTATATATAATATATATATTAAAATATATATAGTAATCCATCACAAATATATTTCACAAATATATATACTATGTATATATAGTTTATATGGTTTATAGTTTATATGGATTACTATATGACCTTTAAAAACAAGGATATTCTGTAATTTCCAACAACATAGATGGAACTGGAGGATATTTTGCTAACTGAAATAAGCCAGGTACAGAAAGACAAATACTGTATGATCTCACATGTGGAGTCTAAAAAAGTCAATTTCATAGAAACAGAGAGCAGAAAGGTAGTTACCAGAGGCTGAGGGTGGGAGAAATGGGGAAAGGTGCGATGATCAAATGGTACAAAGTTTCAGTTACACCAGAGAAATAAGTTTTAATGATCTGTTATACTGCATGGTGACCACAGTAAATAATATGTTTCAAATTTGATAAAAATAATTCGATAAAATTTTTAAAATGGGCAAAAGCTCTAATCAAATGCTTCTCAAAGGAAGACATAAAAATAGCTATGTGAACAGTATGTGAAAAAATGCTCAACATCACTAATCATTAGGGAAATACAAACCAAAACCACAATGGGATGTCATCTCACACACCTGTTTGATGTATGAGATGTTATCTCACATGGCTATTATCAAAAAGATGCAAGATAACAAGTTTTGGTGAGGATATGGAGAAAAGGAAACACTTGTATACAGTTGGAAATGTGAATTACTACAGCTAATATGGAAAACAGTATGGATTTCTCAAAAACTAAAAATAGAACTACTACATGCTCCAGTAATCCCACTTCTGGGTATACATCCAAAGGAATTGAAATCAATATGTCAAATAGATATCTCTCTGTCCACATTCATTGCAGCACAATAGCTAAGACAGGAGATCAACCTAAGTGTCCATCATGGAAATCAGCCTAATTGTCTGTCAATGAATGAATGGATAATGTGGTGTAAATGCACAATAGAATATTTTTGGGCCTTAAAAAAGGAAATCCTAACATTCGTGACAGCCTGAATGAACCTGGAGGACATATTGCCAAGTGGAATAAGCCAGGCTTATAAAGATAAATATCACATGATTTCACTTACATATGGAATCTAAAAAAGTTGAACTTAGAGAAGTAGAGAGCAGAGCAGTAGTTACAGAGGCTGAGCTGAAGGTTGGGAATGGGCACATGTTCAAAGGGTAAAGAGTTTCAGTGAGACAGGAGGAATAACTTTGAGACCTGTTGCACAACGTGGTCACTACAGTTAATAGTACTATATTATATACTTCAAAATTGCTAAGAAAGTAAATTTTAAATGTCTCACCTCAACAAATTATAAGTAACTGAGATAATGGATACATTAAGGAGCTTGATTTAATCATTTCACATTGTATTCATATATCAAAATGATACATTGTACCCTATACATACAATTATGATTTATAAATTAAAATTAATAAAACATTAAAAATCAAAGAAGAAAGATCTGAAATCAACCACACCATCTCACATATTAAGTAACCGGAAACAGAACAAATTAAATCCTAAGTTAACAGAAGGAAGCAAATAATAAATATTGCAACAGAGAGAAATGAAGTGAAGAATAGAAAAACAGAAAAAAATTAACAAAACTAGGAGTTCTGTCTCTGAGAAGAACAAAATGGACAAACCTTTAGCTGGAATGACTATTAAAAAATAGGGAAGACTAATTACTAAAATTATAAATGAAAGTGGGTACAATATTTTCAGTTTAATGGAGTTAAAAAGGATTATAAGTGCTGTGAACGAATATATGCCAACAAATTGGAATAATGTAGTTGAAGTGGACACATTCTTAGAAACATACAATTTAACAAGATAGAATCACAAAGAAATAGACAATCTAAACATTGTAACTATTAAGGAGATTGAATCAGTAATCAAAAACCTCCCATCAAAGAAAAGCCCTGTACCAGATGTACCAGATGGCATCACTGGGGAATTCTACCAACATTTAAAGAATAAACACCAGTCCTTCTGAAACTCTTTCAAAAAGTTGAAGAGGAAACACTTTCTAACTCAACCTGTGAGTTAGAAGGTGTTACTCTGATACTAAAGCCCAAGAAAGACACTACAATAAAAATAACAGAAACTACCAATATCTTTTATGATGAATTTTGACACAAAAATCCTCAACAAAATACTAGCAGATCAAAAGCAACAGCATATTAAAAGGATTATACACCATAACCAATGGGATTTATTCCTGGAATGCAAGGATAATTAACTCATCAAATGTTTACATGCTTTTTGTTGTCAGATACTGTGCTAAGGCCTTGAAATACAAAGTTGCAAAAATATGATCCCTGTTCTTATTTAATCTTACTACACTCTTTTAAAATAAGTATATATTACCTACATTTGACAGATGAGAAACCTGGGACTTAATTAACTTGCCCAGGGTAATACAGCTAATGCAAAACAGCCAGTGTTAAAATTTGGGTCTGCATTATGCCAAAACCCATGCTGATTCTCCTATACCAATTGGTCTGCTCATAAAAATAAATAAAATTGCTGTCATCATGTAAACAAATTCCAGTTTTAAATTGTAATATTGACTTTAATTTCACACATTTTTTTTAAGCCTGACAGAGAAAACCAAGATTGCTTATTCGATAGAATTTCAGAAAGTTATGTGACACTTTTCATGAGCATACCTGTAAGTCGAAAGGATGCATTCTTTCAGGTAAACATTAAAATTAACAGTTATGCTAATTATTTTTAAAGTGAATGAAATAGAAAAAATAGTTATTTTATTTAAACCTGTATGAGAATATATTGTGTTACTTTTGAAAGCAAAGTTGTCTGGTGTAGAGTATTAGTAATATTTTAAAAGTTATGTTCTTATTAACCCCTCAAAATATTGTATTCCCTGGCATCAAGGTCTTACTTAATCTCCCTAGTGACTACAGGTACTTTGTTTGCATAGTAATAATTTTAAAACTATTGACTCATTCTATGTATGTTCCTGTCTTTTTTCTGTTTACCTACAAAATTATTTATGACTTTTACTTTATAATGAATCTTGATCCATTTAGGAGGACTTTGCAAGTTTATTTTATGCCCAAGGACTAAGCACCTGTTACAGTAAAGTACAATGCATAAAATTATGAATCAAATGCTTGCCGTGCTTTTCTGTTATTGTACTAACTGATGGATAGGATTGACTCAAATAAGTAATGTCCCTGGGTAGTATGAAATGAAGATGGTAGGAATCTCACTGAGTATTTTTAAGTTTACTACTTAGCATTTCAAAACACAAGCCATATTCAGATATGTTGTTACATTAGCAGTTTATAAATCAGAAATCATAGTAAATACTTTGGAGTTTGTAAATGTTTTCATGAGAAAGCCATACCCAAAATAAAAAGGTAAGTGTCTTTCATGATGAAAATATAAACAAGCCTAAATTCACAAATTTGCCAAATATTTATATTTAATCTTGACCTATCTTACTCACAAACACATTTGTAAAGTATGATAGAAAGAAACTACCATTAGTAGACTGGAAATAAGGAGACTTGGCTTCATGTCCAGAATTTGCTACTGATTACCTGGGTGATTTCAGCAAGCCACTCAATCTCTCAGGTTGACAGCTGGGTTGTGTATCAAATGAAGAGGTTGATTAGATCTTGATTATTTTAAGACAGTGATTCTTAAATTTTTATCAAACAGTGATGTTCTGACAGGTTTTTACTTATTTGCAGCAAAAAGTTAATGATTAGGCATGTTGCAATTAAATTGTCTAAAGATCACAAAAGCACCTGTTTCTGCTACCCGTATTCTTTCAGTTAGTCTATTCTTCTATGGTTTTTATATTTTAACTATTTACTGAGAGTGCCTAGTCCACCTACATGATTTTATGAAATCAAGCATGCTTTAATACAGGGTCCTTAAGAAAAGGATAAGAGGCTTTTAAATATGGACAAAGAATAGAATGGTGATAACATTGTGTATCCCCCATTCTTTAGTTTCTGTTTCTGCTTTTATGATCCAAATATTCTTGCTTGTGATGGACGTGTCTTTTGATAGATTTTATACTTGCAACCTCTCTCAAACCATGATTTGACTTTTTCTGGGTTCTGATTTTCAGTAACTTTTTCTAAGAAGAAATTAGAAGTTGTTTGATTAAGTCACGAAGCCTCATTTGAGAACAGAAAAGATGTACTTAATGATTAGACTCCTTGACTTGCACTGTCTTCCTTTAAAACTCCCTGTCCATCCATTTATATGCGAGAGACACCTCCCTTCAGGATCTCATCTCTTTTTGACCATAATTTCAATTATTTTTAACTAATTCAAATAAGTGAGGGTTTTGTTACTATTAATGCATCTGATTTATATTTCCTAAGGAAGATAAATGTATTAATATTTAAGAAAGAAAACAAAAACTATCTTCTGGTCCACTATTTAGCACAAATTAATCTGAACCTAAATATATTTTGTATGGCTTTTACTTTCCTTTCTTCCAATGTCACACAATGATACTCTCTCAGAAATTTTCCAAATAGTTTGACACTTAATCTCCATCTCCTGAAGGCAGGATATTCATAGAAAATGTTTAGAAGTTCCCTTTATTCACCTTATTCAGCATTTTAATTTTAACCATTGGTATAATTTATGTATCACAAATAGAATATGTGATCATTTCTGGTAGAAAAAAATGCTCATGACTCATTTAATAAAATTAAATATGTCAACATATTATAGAGTTTTTCCTTTCTCCCTTCACTTCCCGAGAAAAACGATGGAGATCTTAAAAGAATACTGTCACTTACCAGCAAATTTGAGCACTAATAGATTGACTGTATTAGTCTCCTACTGATGTTGTAAAAATTATATATTTAGTGGCTTAAAGCAATAGAAATTAATTTTCTTGGCTATGGAGGCCAGAAGCCCCAAATGAGTCTTACAGGGCTAAAATCAAGGCATCAGCAGGACCAATGTCTTTAAGAGGGCCCAGAGGAGAATCTATTCCTTGCCTCTTCTGTCTTCTGGTGGTTGCCAGTATGCCTTAGCTTATGGTTGTATCACTCCAATCTCTGCTTCTGTTTTTGAATTGCGTTCTCATTTTCTATAGTCAAATTTCCCTCAGCTGCTCTCTTATAAGGACACTTGTGATTACATTTAGAGCCCATGGGATAATCTCCTTTTTTTAAGTGGAGATTAAGTTAAGATCTTTAATCTTAACCCCCACTGAAGATCTTTATCACATTTGCAATATGCTTTTGCCTTATAAGGTAACATTTACAGGTTCCAGGGATTAGAACATGTATATATTTTGCACCAATATTCAGTCTATCACAATGACTTGTAAGAGACCTTCTAATTCTAAAATTTTACAAAATGATGACCTTAATGCGTGATTATAAATACTTACCTGAATGCAGGGTATGCAAATAGTTGTATCAATTTGTCTTTAATGTAAAAATACTGTGTTTTTCTATATTGAGTCACTCCCTGAGAGGAATTTAATAGTTTAGGGAATTGAAAGCTAACAGGATACTGGTAGTCCCTTTTATTTGTTGATTTCTGATTTTTTTTTTTCTTTTTTTTCTGAGATGGAATCTTACTGTGTCACCCAGGCTGGAGTTCAGTGATGCAATCTCAGCTCACTGAAACCTCTGCCTCCCAGGTTCAAGCGATTCTTCTGCCTCAGCCTCCCGAGTAGCTGGAACTACAGGTGCCCACCACCACCCCCAGCTAATTTTTGTATTTTTAGTAGAGACAGGGTTTCACCATATTGGCCACACTGTTCTCGAACTCCTGACCTCGTGATCCGCCTGCCTCAGCCTCCCAAAGTGCTGGGATTACAGGTGTGAACTACTGTACCCGTGGCCTCTGATTATGGTTTTAATATTGAAATAATACTGATCGCACTATGTAAACTCATGCAAACAACCTACAGTTACTTTAAAATGTACTTTTTATTGTTTTGGCTCATATGCATCATTTACAAAAATTGCTTTTAGGTTCAGGGAGTGCACATGCAGTTCATTACATGGGTATATTGTATGAAAGATCCTGTCATTCAGGTAGTAAGCATAGCATAGTGAGTTTTTCACCCCTCACTCCCCACACCTCCCTCCCCTATCTAGTAGTCCCCAGTGTCTATTGTTCTCATCTTTATGTCCATATGTATTCAATGTTCAGCTCCCACTTAAGAGAACATGTGGTATTTGGTTTTCTGTTTCTGTGTTAATTAGCTTAGATTAATGGAGCTGCAACTATGTTGCTGCAAAGGACATGATTTTGTTCCTTTTTATAGCTATATGGTATTCAATGTTGTTTATGTACCACGTTTTCTTCATTCAGTCCACCACTGATGGATAGTTAGGTTGATTCCGTGTCTTTGCTATTGTGAATAGTGCCATGATGAACATACAAGTGCATGTGTCTTTTTGATAGAATGACTTATTTTCCTTTGAGTAAACATGCCGCTATGGGATTCCTGGGTCTAATGGTAGTTCTGTTTTTTAAGTTGTTTGAGAAATCTCTAAACTGTTTTCCACAGTGGCTGAACTAATGAACATTTACACCAACGGTGCATGAGCATTTTTTTTTCTCTGCAGCCTTGCCAGCATCCATTGTTTTTGAATCTTTAATAATGCATGCTCAGACTGATGTCAGATAGTATGTCACTGTGGTTTTGATTTGCATTTCTCTAATGATTGGTGATATTAAGCATTTTTTCATATGTTTGTTTGCTGTGTGTATGTCTTCCTTTGAGAATTGGCTATTTCCTTTATCCACTTTTTAATGGGATTATTTCTTCTTTGTTGAATTGATTTAGTTCCTTTATATATTTTGGATATTGAGCCTTTGTTGGATAATTAGTTTGTGAATATTTTCTCCTATTCTGTAGGTTGCCTGTTTATGCTGTTGATAGTTTCCTACGTTGTGCAGAAGCTTTTTAGTTTAATTAGATCCTGCTTGTTAATTTCTGTTTTTGTTGTAGTTGCTTTTGCGGACTTAGTCACGTCTGCCAAGGCCAATGTCCAGAAAGGTACTTCCTAGGTTTTCTTCTAGGATTTTTATAGTATTACATCTTATATTTGTCTTTAATCCATCTTGAGTCAATCTTTGTATATGGTGATAGGTAGGAGTCCAGTTTTATTCTTCAGCATATGGCTAGCCAGTTACCCCAGCACCATTTATTGACTAAAGAGTCCTTTCCTGATTGCTTGTTTTGTCTACTTGTTGAAGATCAGATGTTTATAAATGTGCAGCTTTATTTCCGGCTTCTCTGTCCTGTTCTGTTTGAATATGTGTCTGCTGTTGAACCAGTACCATGCTATTTTGGTTACTGTAACCTTACAGTATAGTCAGAACTCAGGTAATGTGATGTCTCTAAATTTGTTCTTTTCGCTTGGGATTGCTTTGGCTGTTTGGGCTCATTTGTGGTTCAGTATGAATTTTAGAATAGATTTTTTTACTTCTGTGACAAATAGCATTGGTAGTTTGATAGGAATAGCATTAAATTTGTGGATTGCTTTGGGCAGTATGGCCATTTTTAACAATGTTGATTCTTCCATTCCACAAGTATGGAATGCTTTTCCATTTGTTTGTGTCACCTATGATTTCTTTGAGCAGTGTTTTGTAGTTTTCCTTGTAGAGATCTTTCACCTCCCTGGTTAGCTGCATTCCTGGGTATTTTATTTTTGGCTTTTGTAAATACAATTGTAT